AATGTGCTGTGGTGGCGGGTGCTGTGGCTGGAGTTTCTGCTATGTCTCTCTTATTGCGGGACCATTCCTGCCTCAGTTTCCCTATTTGTAAGTGGAGCATTTCATGGTTCTCGGATCATGTTTATTGGGAGTCTGTGAGTTGATGATGAACACTTAGGATGGCGTTTGGCACATAGATAAAGCTCCAATGGCATTAGTCCTTGGGATGTCCTCAAATGACCCATAAATGAACAATAGTCCTCTGTCTCACAGGAATGTCTTCTGGGGGCTCACAGTAGACAGCCTGCTTTCCATGGAGCAGGCTCCCCTGTGCTGTTTCCAAGATTGTACCATCCTACTGGTGATAGCAATGGGCTCCCAGTGAGAATGCGAAAGGTTTCCCAGGTTGGTAGATGATTCAATCCAACCCCTCAAACCCCAGCTCCAGTACCAAGGCTAAATCAGTAATGGAGAGTTAAATGGCTAAGGGAGGCTGCAGAAGTTCAGTGGCCCGTTGTGGCCCTGGTTCACCAGTCTCTGTTCATCTGGGCCACTCCTTAGCCACTCCTTCCTTGAAAGGCTGACTTTTATGGGTTTAGCAATCCGCTTGGGGCACTAGGACAGCCCTAAAGTCAAGCTAACTATGGCCTCATTTCCAAGCTGGGCTATGGAAGGTGAGCTGAACCTGTGAAAAGGGAGTCGGCCTTTGATGGCTGCAAGTTGTTGCGATAAAACTGTGGATGGGAGGCAGAATGTGGGAGGAAGAGAGTAGAACTTGAGGAAGTCGTTATTTCTGGAAGCCAGTCAGCTTGGCTACAGAGAGAAAAGGGTCGTGCAAATACGGCGTTCCAGACCTTCCTCCAGCCCAGTGATTCTTGAACTTAATCATTTTCACATCTAATTCAAGGAGAAGTTAGTCGTTAGGCCTTAAGGCAAGCAGGAAGGCTCCTGTCTTAACTAGGAGCCCTTCTTGCAGAGTGGAATGAACTCGAGAATAATTAAAAGCCTGCAGAAGTACAGAAATGTTCTATTAACGGGAATTGCATCTTCATGGGGCCAGAGCCCTTCCTACCCTGAAACAGTTCATGAAGAATCTAATGAAGATTAAGGCCATGGTGAGGTCTGCAGAGATGTGGTAATTGACTCCAACCATCATCGCTAGTGTCATTTTGGAGCCAGATAAACCTTGCTGTGGGAGGCTCCTGATGGTGTGATCGAAGGGAAATGCAAAGTTCCTCATTCTTCTGGAGTCCCACTCGGCAGAGACTGTGCTCCCCCTGGGGAAATAAAGCCTACAGCGAAAGCATAGTAGAGATCCTAGATCTACCTGGATTGTCCTGAACCTGCTGCTTCACTGCTGGCAGGACTTCCAGAACCTCTGTGTCATCTGAAAGAACACAGTGACTAAGTAACAATGGTGTCTGCCGTGACACATCAGCATCCAGTACATCGGTTCATAGTCACCCATTCCAGGGAGCTGCTGTGACCGTGTGGTGTGGTCTGTATGGCTCTCCCTATGGGCATGTGGCTATGACCCACCAGTCCCGGATTCTGGATACAGAATAGCCTCATGCTTGGCACACCCTGTCTCAAATTTACCTTGGCCCATCAACAGTGATTTACCAGTCTTGATACCCAAAGCACTTTTGTCCATAAAGAACAAATCGCCCTCTGTTTATGCCCATTGTGTGCGTTTTCCGTGTTTGTTGAGCTCCACTTTAAACGCTGCCGAGTCAACAGTTCTCTGAGTTATTTGTACAATACTTTAAAACAATATGGATTTAACAAAGGAAAGTTTCTTAACATTTAAACACAGATTTTAAAAGCAAACACTCCTAGGCGTTTATTTGAAATGATACTTCTGAAAAGTCAGATTGCCATAAATGTTTAAAGGCGTGTAAAGTATACACACAGTGTGTCCATTAAAGACCAGGAAACTCTAAGCACAGTGTCCGGGTATGAAGTCCAAGGACTTGAAGCTGTTTGTTTGCCATCTTGATTCATACACTTCGTAAAGTTTTGACTTTAAATTTTTTTGCACATTCCGTTAACCCTAAAGCTGCCTTCCTAAAGCCTCAGAAACACAAGTAGAACAACCAAGGCCATCGACTCTGGTTATTGACTGTGTTCCTTCGGATGTGGGATTCAGGGCTCAGTCCACAGTAATCCCGGCTTCCACTCATCTGGTCCCGCATCCTGCTGTAACTAAACCCTTAAATCCCTACCCCCCACCTCTGGAGAGTTTCACTTTGGAAACTTGATATCTTTCCCAGAGATGATAAATTTTAAGTTTTGTATATCTGTCAGTCCCTGGCCTATTGTTCTGTCATTTTGATGCATTGAGCTTGTCTGTTAACGTTATTAAAAACTTATGTGTCTCCTATTATTATTTTATTCTAATTAGATGGGCCATTTGGAGGTTTCGTCTCCTAGGAGATGCAATTGAGCCTGTGTAATTAGCTCTCCTCTTTAGGACAGCTGGCTCACTCGTCACCTTGGAGTGCAGGGTTGGGCTCTCAGCCCACCTATTTATTTTATATGGCCACAGGCACTTTATTGGGCTTTTTCTAGTACTTAATCTAACTTCACATGAGTCTCAGTGTCTGATCTTTTCCATGTGCCCAAGGAGAAACAAGTACACCCTGTCACGATGCCTCAGTTTTCTTATTAATATGAGTAGAGCAAAATAGAATTCTCCCTTGTTGTGTGAGACAGGATCTCATGGGTCTCAGGCTGGCCCCAAACCCATTATGTAGCTGAGAACCATCTTGATCTTCCTGCTTCAACCTCCCAGGGGCTGAGATTGCCAGCCTGTTTTGTGCAGCCCTAGAGATCAAACCCAAGGCTATGTGCAGGCGAGGCAAGCTGCTCTACCAACCGAGCCACTTTTCCAACCAGCCCCAAGTCTAATCACAGCACAACACTTGGACAATGTTTGCTGTAACCTACGGCTCACCTCTACCCTTACTATTTATAGAGAATTATTTATGATTTAAATAAGACTTGTCTTCAGATTACTTGAAATCAGTTTGCTTGTCTTAAGCCATAGCTCTTGATGAATCAGCTCTATTTGGTTAATTATTTTGTAAATACCACTGGCTTCCATCTGTGTAAGTTCTACATCCACAGACCTAGCTAACTGCTGATTGAAATGCACGCTACGTAAAACTGCATCTGTACTGAACGAGTACAGACTCTGCCGCTATCATGATCCCCTGCACAATGTGCTCTAGCAACTACTTGCATAGCATCCGCCTTGTACGTGACGTTAGTGATTTAGAAAAGACTTACTGGTACATGAAAGGATGGGCGTGTGTTACAGACCAATAGTATACTGTTCTATAGAATAGATTTGAGCGTGTGTAGATTTGGGTGTCCAGTACAGACACCAAAATAAATGTGTAGAGTCTGAGATGGTTGCGTTGGTAAAAGTGTTTGCCGTGCAAGGCTAAAGACCTAAGTTTGTATCCCCAGGGTCTATGTAAAAGCTGGATGAACAGCACAAATATCTATCAACTTCAGGGAAGTGGGAGGCGGAGACGGGAGAGTCCCTAGAAACTCTGCAGGCCTGCTAACCTGTGGTAGGAAGGCAAGAAGGAGATGGACTAACTCAAAGTGAAAGAAAAGGACCGACACCCAAGGCTGACCTCCATATGCATGTTTTGGTATACGTGCATCTGCATTCACACATACACACACATACACTAAATAAATAAAGTAAAGGCATCAGTGCTGAAAAGATGGCGCTGACCTAGAATCATCCAGGATATACACAATAATTGAGGAGAGCTGTTGCAGACAGACCCTGTGCCAAGAGCTCTACTTACTAGAAACTTAAGTAATTGTACTTATTTTCAAAGCACAGAAACCAATCTCCAATTTTTAGGAGCGCCGACAGAAGTGGAAGTTTTGGTGGCTTACGAAACCATACTGTCATGCAAATAGACCACAGTAAATAAGATGGAAGCATGTGACCACACTGTTGTCAGGCCCTGCTGAGATGTAACATAGTGCACAGGTCCAGCGTGTGAGTGCTGCAAGCCAACTCTCCTGAGTCCCTGGGCACCTACAGTGGTCTGGGAACCTCTTCCAGGTTAGGCTGGGCAATGAGGAAAGTGTACCCGGGAGGCAGGGTATGAGCGTGGTAAACGTTTAGGAGAAGAGCATTACGGTAGATGAAGAAGATCTAGCATACGATGTGGATGTCACTCAAAGGGGCTCAAGGTCTGGGAATGGGGAGAGAAGGTCAAGCATCCTGGGACTGTCCCAGCACCAAGAAATAGACCAAAACCTGGATTACCAGACTATAAATCATAGACTCCCTGCTGTGACTCTGCCTACTGTGGACATTTGAGCCGTAAAACCTTCAAGCTGATCTTATTAGTTACTATGTAGGGATGATCAAATCAAGGCTGTTAGCTCAGACCCCCATGGATTGTGCCAGCCCTGAAGGTAAGAGCTGAGAGGAAGACTTGATTTGGTTCATACTTATTTTGTAAAAGATGAGTTTCACTTCTTTCTTGACACTGATGATGTTAAACCTATTCTCTGACTGCACATAAAGCGTGGAGTTTAAAATATTGATTGACATATACCTAAATAATTTGATGTATAAAACTTATATATGTAACAGTTTTTATTTTGGGGAAAAAAATTCCCAAACAGATTTCTTTTTGGAGTGGAGTAAGGGACAAAAAAAAAAGCAACCTTGTAATTCCTTAAAAGATACCTGACTATCTCATGTGAGCCCCGAAGTTGTGGCATTGAAGAAGCCAGGTAGAGCAGCCTGTTTTAGCAGAAAATGGCTTACTTTGTAGGATATTGGTGTGTTTTTAAGCCAGAGTTCTCAAAGTTATGAATGATCTACAGGATAAAGATTCTAGCCCGAGCCACCCATGTGCCTTGAGGTGTTGTTTAAAGAAACAGGCAAGAGTGCGTTAGGAAACGGTCTCTAATGAGGTCTCAAGAGTAGGCACTCAGCACGTGTGACCTTGACCTTGCTTTCTGTCCCTCCCCCACAGTGATCCCCAAGGTCACCAAGCACCTGCTCTCAAACCCCGTGTTCACCTGTATCGTCCTGGCTGCCTGCATGGAGATTGCTGTGGTGGCCGGCTTCGCTGCCTTCCTGGGCAAGTACCTGGAACAGCAGTTCAACCTCACCACCTCCTCTGCCAACCAGCTGCTCGGTGAGTGGGTCTCCTTGCCCTCCGGTCATACCCAGATGCTCAGAGAATGCATTGAGAGCCAGGAAGTGTACAGGGCTATGCTAAGCCAATAGTGTTGTGGTGGATCTGTGACCTTTCCTTGCAAGGAACTTCGGAGTGAGATTTTTTTCATACTCGAAACAAATACTAAAAACATATTATAGGTTGACTTAGCAGGAAAAGCATTTGTTGCTCAAAGCTGGTGACCCAAGTCCAATACCCAGAACCCACAGTTGGGAGAGAGAATCAACATGGGTACCATGACACACTCAGGCATCATCACCATCATCATCATCATCATCATCATCATCATAATAATAATAATAATAATAAATTAAAAAACAAAACCATATTATAAGAAAGAACAACAGTAGAAGGTACATGTAGGAAGCATTATGAAAGGCCAGGAAGTCACTTGATTGATGTGAACGGGAAATTTTGGAGCACATATAAAGAAAGCAATCAAAGTCTATCTTAGATTAGTAGATTTTTATTAGGCTAAGGGATGATCTCAGCAACATACACCCCACAGCAGGGACTTTACCTGTTGAACTATTTCTAAAGCCCCAGGAGTTGTTTTGGTTCAAAGATTTATTACTTCATTTTAGGTATGCATGCTTTGCCTGAACGGGTGTGTGTGTGCACCAGGCGCCTGCAGGTCAGAAGAAGGTGTGTGATCCCTTTGAGTAGAGTGATAGGTGGCCATGAGCCACCATGTGGGTGCTGGACATCAAACCCAGCCAGTCTAGCCAATAGGTAAAGGTAGAGAGGCTTAAAAACTAGCACAGAGGTTAAGAGCACTGACTGCTCTCTCAGAGTACCCGGGTTAAATGCCCATCACCGACATGGTAACTTAGAACTGCTAATAACTCCAGTGTCAGGGGATTCAGAACTCTCTTCTGGACCATGGGCATCAGGTGTAAACATGGTACACAAGCATACATGCAGGCAAGATGCCCATATACATAAAATAAAATATTTAAATAAAGTGGAGAGCCATAGATTAGGGTACCTGACTTCAGCCTTTAGCCTTCACATACCTATGTACACCTGTGCATGCACACACACATGCATGTATACACACACAGAGAGAGAGAGAGAGAGAGAGAGAGAGAGAGAGAGAGAGAGAGAGAGAAAGACCTCCTGTTGTTTCACAAGACAGTCAATAAATGCCAAGATTCTGGCTGGCACAATGGGGAAATGCACACTGAAACCTCAAGGAGGCGCTATGACACACCAACCAGATGACAGCCCCGAGTGTTGGGGAGGATGAGCAGGAACTGGAACCCACACTGTGATGGGAATGCACAACAGAACCTCTGCTTCGGGCAGTTTTTACACCCTCCATTAAAGCTCAGCATATGCCTGAGCTGTGATCCATCAGTTCCGTTTCTGGGCACTTCTCCAACAGAATGGAGTGTTTAGGTCCGCTCATTTACATACGCATATATAACAACGTTCGGAGCGGTTTTGTGCATAATTATCTCAAACTGGAACCAACCCAAATGTCTGTCTACAGCAGAATGGGTAAATAAACTATAGACTGTTCATTCTATACCACACAGCTTGGGAAAGGACGAACACTCTCACACAGGCTTTTCATGTAAATGGGTGTGAGTTTAAATGTGTCACAGACAAAGAGAATTTATTTATGGGACTTTAAAAAAAGAACCGTCCAATTAAGATAAAAGAAGCGAGGGCCACAGTTGTCCTTGAGGCTTACAACTGGGCAGAGGTACCCAGGAGCCTCCTAGGCAGCTGCACGTGTGTACATGCATGCATGCGTGCATGTGTGTGTGTGTGTGTGTGTGTGTATGTGCGTGTGTATGTGTGAATTGTGCATGTGAATACAGGTACACATTCACACATATGCATATGAAGGTCAGAGATCCATAGCAGGTGTCCTCTTCAGTCCCTCCGCACCTTAGTTTTCCATGCAAAGTCTCTCTCTGGCTGAACCTGCTGGCTAGTATGATGCAGGGCTCCACGTGTCTCCCTACAGCCCAGCCCTGGGGTTCCAAGTGTGCACCCCTACTCTTGGCTTCTATGAAAGTGCTGAGGATCAAGCACTCCCAAGCCCCAGGCATCTGGAATTGTTTTAGGCTTGACCTGAGTGCTGGTTGCGGGAACGTTTGCGTATTGGAAAGTTCACCAGCATGGTCTTGTGTGTTTCACATCTCAAATTAAAAAGAAATTTAAACCCTGACCATTATGGCAACATGCCATAGGTTTTTTTTCTCCCTGAAAACTGCAGGGGAATACAAGTTTTTTGTGTGTTTGTTAGTTTGTTTTTTCTTGCTGCTGTTGGTGGTGGTTTTTGTTTTTTGGGATTTTTTTTCTCCTCTCTTCACTAGTCATTCTTGACACCCATCCTTTGGTCAGAGTATGAGCCAAATGCAGCTTTTTTAATACTTGCAGAATGGAGGGGAAAAAAAGCCACCTCTCCTTATAGTGGAAGCTGTAGTGTTTGCTGTCTCTAGGATCTGGGGTTTGGCCCTGCAGCACCCCAGAGGTTATCTCCCAGAGGTTACCTCCTGGTTTCTCTGCTGCTACATCTTCCATCTTGATTGTTTTTGCACCATTGCATCTTCAGGGCCAGGTCCTATTTTGGAACAAATGCCTAAGCTTTCTATAGACACACCAATCAATAGTCTCCGGGCCAGAAGGTCAGAAAAACAATTCTGCTACCTAACATCTGTTTGTTTCCCAATGGTTCCTGCTTGTTAGAGTGCTTAACAAGGTGGGAAGAAAGGGGGTGGGGTCTCTTCCTAATCTCCAGGCAGGCAGACAGGCAGGCAGGCAGGCAGGCAGGCAGGCAGGCAGACAGCCGGCATCTCCTATCTCTATGTCTAGCCAATGGCATAGATCCAATCAGCGTGTACTGGGGACAGCCCACTGCAGGAGGGGCAGGCAGGGTGCGCTAGGGGAGGCTAATGTAAGGAGATGCTCTCAGAATAGCTCCTGTGCTCCCGGAAGATAGTGTGTGTGCAGCACTATGTGCAAAAGGCTCTGGGCCACCCACAAAGTCATCAGCAAATGGGTCAGAGTTCAGAGAAGAGCAGTGTGAACAAGCCAGGGGCCGATGACATTGATTTATGAGTATAGATTAAAAGGGCTCAATCTGCATAAGTTAATCTAATGAGGATGAAGTTTTGGTCCTGTGAAGTCCTGGCAATGGCCAGGGATGTTAAGGACATGTACACACTTCATGGAGGAAGGGAAAGGGAAGCTAATAGTGACTGGGAGAAGAGGTGCTGAAATCCTGTTGTTGCCATGGTTACCATCATCACCAGGTGACACCCCCACTGTCTCAACTAGAAAATGAAACAAAACCCAAGATGCTCTCGGGGAGTAGGCATGTTGTCACCAAGGCTTATCCACACAGATCCAATCTGCTCACAGATTCATTCTTTCTCAAAGGGATGTCTGAATGCTGTCCAGTGCAGGGTGCTAGATTAGACACTGGGATTTGGGCTGGACTGAATGGGACCCAGAGGGTACCCTTCCTCCTGGAAACTCCATGCTGATAGAGGAGGAGAGCAGGATACAGGATGGGCAAAAATAAACATGGCAGTTTTAGATGGCAGGGAGAACCATGGCAACAGGAATTCTGCCTAGGGATAACAGGAGACTGTTACTGAACCAAGAACTCCCCGATGCCAGCTAGACCAGCGGGATGGCTTACCATGGACAGCCCCTGTCTCTTCCTTCAAAATACGCAGTTACAGGTGGGCCACCACCTGCCCAGCTTTAACCTGGCTTCTGAGATCCCACCTCTGGGATCTCACTGGTACCACAGGTGTTTTACCCACTGAGCCATGTTCCCTGCCCCAGATCCTCAGATGACCGTAAGTCCCTGTTGCATGTCACCAGAGGAGTAGGGGCTGATGCATCTTCTTAGAAGAGAAGACCATTCCAGGAAGGATGGACAAGTGTGTCCTAGGAATAGAACCAATGTGTAGGCAAAGACTGCGGCACCCTGGGCACCTAGACATTTCCAGGGAGAGAAAGTAGAAAAAGTGGGTGTGGCTAGAGTGGCCAGTGGCCTGGGCTGGGGATGGAGGCTCACAGGACAAGGTCAGAGGCAGCCGGTAACACACAGGTCCGTGTCTGTTTCAAGCATGACCAGGATAAGGCCTTGGCAAGCTAAGCCTTCCCAATTTTATTTTCTTACCGTAATATGAAAAATTAATTTGCATTCCCTCAGCACGTACCAGCTGGTTGATGTAGTCGATTGACCTGGGGGTCGGTTGATTGGCAGGGAGGAGACAGCCTAGACTGGAAAATTGGCCATGCATAATCTACACGGTAGATAAATGACACTCAGTAATTTAAAGACGAGTCGCAGATGAAATGAATCAGAAGAGAGCCCCAGCAAAGAGGAGATTGGGACAGCAGGATCCTTTGGTTCTCCGGCAGTACTCTGGGTCTCTGAGAGTCCTGGGGAACAGGTTTCGGGCCTGCTGCCTATGAGATAGCTCTGTATAGAAGAGAAAGGCTGCATATACTCACTAATTATTAACCAAGTACTGCAGAACATAGTGATGTGGTTGACACCACTTCCTGAGACGTGGCAGAACTGGCTCCACAGACATGTGAGCCCTGCAGCCTTTGGTTTAAACAATCTTGGAGCCTGTGAACTGTCCTTGCCTTGCCTCATTAGAAGAGGAAGAGAAAATTCTCAGAGTGTGTGTGTGTGGGGGGGGGTGTTTCATGTGTGTATGCTCACATGTGTAAGTTTGTATAAGTCTGAGAGGATGTGAGTGTGTGTGCTGAGTCCATGTGTGTTCACATGTATAAGTGTGTATCTGTCTGCAACTGAAGTTTACGGGAATGTGTGTGTAGGCATGAAGTTGATGTCAATGTCCTCAGCCTCTCCCCCACTTAATCTTTTAAGGTGGAGTCTCTTTCTGAGCTCGGCACTTGGCCATTTTCCACCAGTCTAGCTTAATGGCTTGTCTCCAGGATCTCCTCTCTGTCTCCTGTATGTTGAGATCACAGGTGGGCCACCAAGCCTGCTTGGCCTTTCTGTGGCTTCTAGGAATCAGAGCTCCAATCTTCACACTTGCATGGCAGTCACTTTGTCTACTAAACCATCTCCCCCGCCCAGAACTCTCAGATAATCTTAAGTCCCCTTTCGTGGTCACCGCAGATATGCACAGAGATGCTCATGTGCCATGGTGACTCAGGATCTGAGTTCCATGCTCAGAACTCAGATACAGTGAGAAACATAAAAGCCAGAGCGAGAGATGACATCTCAAAACCAGGTGCCTGAGAAATGACACCCAAGGTTATCCTCTGACTTCTACATGATACAGGCACATATGTGGACATGTATACAAACACATGCACATACATGATTCACAGAGAAGGTGAACTTCATAGGATATGCCTTTGATCCCATTACTTGGGTAGCTGAGGTAAAAAGATTGCCAAGTGTTTGAAGCTAGTCTGGTCTACAGAATACCACCAGATAGATAGATAGATAGATAGATAGATAGATAGATAGATAGATAGA